TAAGGCTCCTGGCTGTGCTTGCAGGATTTGAGCTCTGGCTCTTGGGTCCCGCCTATCTGGTAGAACTTGCGGGATAGTACCAGTGGAGTGCAGTGGTGCTGTTGGCACTTTTGGGGAACACTGTATTACCATCAGTGGTCTGTGCTTGTTACACGACCTACTTGCGAGCATAAGCCTTCTTGCTGGTTCGTCCGTGGACTTCCAGGGCGCACTGGCCTGTTTTCGTATGGCAGTTCCGGCCCGTCCTGGTTCTGGGGGTATGTGGGCCGGTGGACTGCTCCTAGCAGCTGTCTGGTGGGCCATCCTCTGGCCGGTCTGGCCTGACCTTGGGCCGGGCTTCAGGTGTAAAAGAGCTCCCAGTACCTCATCCAGCGGGTATCGAGCGGGGTTTTCTCCGCCGTCGGTCGCCTGGTGCAGGTTTCTGGGCCTGCAGGGTTTTGTCGTGTCTCCATTGGCCCTGTCTGGGGTCGGCCTGCTCCGTTCTCTGCCTTTGCAGAGGGGATTTGCTATTTACATGTTGCATGTTGCAGTGGTGCCTGTTGCGGCTGCTGCACGTGTGCATTGGTACCGTGTTTCACGGTGGCGTGTCCTTGTTCCTGTGTCCGGTTGTGGAGTGGCACTTTGCTGCCGTTTTGTGCCTGGGGATTGCGTGTGGTTTTTTGTCCCTGCCTGATTGTCCACCCTGGTTGTTCTCGTGGGGTTTTTTGTGCTTCTGCTCTTTCTTCCTGCCTCCTCTGCAGCAGGGATGTTCTGCGTGTGTTCTTAGGCGTTGGTCAGCCTGTGTCCTGTGATGTGCTTCTTTGTCTCGTTCTATTGCAGTTGTTAGTGCCCCTTGGTTCGGGTCCTGTTCTGGCGGCGACCCTTCCGCCGCCTTTGGTTTTCCTCGCTTGCCCTGCCGTTTTTTTTTTTTTTTTTGGGGTGGGGGGGGGGTGGGGGGGTCTTGCGATGTCTCGCGTCGGACCCGTCGTTTCTGAACTCCTGGCGGGCTTGCATGCTTTGGGGAGTTTTTCTGTTCGGCAGACGTTCCATCTCCTTATGCCGCCTGGGTTTCGGTGGTCGCGCCCGAGATCTTCTCGCGGCTCCGCCTTTTCCTGGGCTCGGGGGGGGCCTTGTCGGGGCTGCTTATGTTCTGCCTCGTGGTCTCGCCTCCGGTTGGTGGTCGGGTGGCTTCGTGGTAGGTGTCCCACCTGCGTGCTTCTCTTGGCGGCAGTATGGGGTATTTTGGCGGTCCTTCCTTTTCCTGTCCCTTCTTAGGTGGTTACTCTTGTTCGCTTGGTTTACTCTCGGCTTGGTGTTCAAGTGGGGGTTGGGGGCCGTCGTCTTGCCACATACTGTCGCCTCTTTTCGTGCGGCGCAGGCGGAGCCGCTTCAGCTTGCTTTCGGTCTTGGTGTTGCTTCTGCACCGTTAGTCAGCTGTCTTGTGCGTCGTTTCACCTCTGGCCTGTTCGTGCGCCGCTTGCACCATCCTGGTCTCTGGTCAGCGTGCTCTGTCTTCTCCTCGGTTGGTAGTGCCCCTTTGGTTCCGGTGTGTTTTTTCGTCGGCTCTTTCCTTTGGGCCCTTGCCTCGGGGGGTCGAGTCGCTTAGTTTTCTTGCTCCTTCGGTTTTAGCGTTTTGGTTGTTTGATGGCAGCAGTCTCCATCTTTTCTGGCGCGGGGTGGGGCTGCTGCATTCTGGAGGGGTCCAGGGTTTGTTGGTGCTTCGTTGGTCGGGCCAGGGGTGTGTCGTTTTTGTGTTCAGTGGCGGCCCTCTGCTGTTGTTTGTGTGCCACGGCGTTTGGGTCCGGAGCGCATTTTGCGTTGATCCGGTTCTGTTCTTCCCGGTTCGCGGGTGATAGTGTCCCTGGTGGTCAGCCGTGTTCTTGCGGCTAAGCTGCCTGTGTTCTTCCCTCATGCCTGTGGCGTTCGTGGCTTCGCTGCTCTCGCTGCCGTCTGGGCGACGTGGCCTTGCAGTCTTTCGGGCATGGATTTTTGGTGTTCGTGCAGGGGCCTTGCTGCTCGTGGTTCTCGTGTTGTTCCCGGGATTTTCGGGGCTGTGGCGCCTTGGGTTGGCGTTTGCTGCCGGTTGTCTCGCCTCCTTGGGGGGTGCATGGTGTCCGCCTCCCGGTTTTGTCCCTTTAGACCTTCCTCTGTGGGTAGTTAGCTCCGGGGAGCCGACGGGGCTCCCCCCAGAAAACGAGCGTTGAATGTAATGAAACGCCATTTTCTGGGTGAGACCCGGAGGCTCCCCGGCAACCCTCCCTCCCTCCGGTCGGCGTTTTTCGCGTGTTTTGACATCCAGCCTCAGAACTGATGGGTGGATAGCCGGCGTGGAAGGTCTGGGGCTCCCCCTTCCCCCTCCCGGGGAGGGGGAGCTGCGCAGACAGCGGCGCGGTGACGTGTGACGTCATACTAGTTTCCTTGTTTTCTGTTGAAGAGTTCTATCCACTAGTTCGGCTTGGGTAGCAATTTTCACCAGAATAGGGGTTTGTTTTGGAATGCTTACCTTTCTGGATGCTTGACCCGGTCGATGGCAGACATAGAATGCTTCCAACCACATGGGGGTTTCTATAGGCCATTGCTCCCCTTGCCTCTCTGAGGGGACCAGGTTCTGGCTCGTGGTCCCCGGTAGGCCCTAGATCTCCATACACATGACTGATGCCAAAGTCTGACATTAGCATATCAGCCGGTAAAGCTCCGGGGAGCCTCCGGGTCTCACCCAGAAAATGGCGTTTCATTACATTCAACGCTGGTTTTTAGTATTGTTTTTGAATGATGCAAAAGTTGGACAGCTTTTCAATTCAATAGGGAGTGAGTTCCATAGACTGGGTCCCTTTATTTGCATAGTGTTTACACAAATTAAGTTTGACTCTGGGGATATCAAAGAGATATTTATTTCTGGTGTGGTGATAATGGGTCCTATTGCATCTGTCCAGGGAGAGTTTCAGAGCAGGATTTGCATTTAAGAACAGGGTTTTGTAAATGTAGTTGACACAAGAAAATTTGTGGAGTGAGATTATGTTTAGCATGTTTAGGGAGTTAAAGAAGGGGGCTGAGTGTTGTCTGAAAGCAGAATTTGTTATTATTCTGATAGCAGATTTTTGCTGGGTAATGATGGACTTGAGGTGGTTTGCAGTGGTTGAACCCCATGCACAGATACTGTACCATAATTAAGATAGGGATAGATTAGTGCATAATATAGAGAGATGAGAGCAGAGTTAGGTACATAATATCTGATTTTGGAGCGTATACCATCTGTTTTAGAGACTTTCTTAGTTATATGTTGTATGTGGGTACTGAAGTTGAGTCTCTTGTCTAGGAATAGGCCGAGAAACTTTCCATCATTTTTATTGCTAATGTTTACATTGTCTATCTGAAGCTGAATTGCATTTGTAGATTTGCTTCCAAATTTTTTATTTTATTTATTTTATTTATTTTATTTATATATATACAAGAAGGTACATTGGGTTTGTGAGAATACATTGGATAGTACAGTAATTCTTGTAAAGCCACTAGTACGCGCAGCGTTTCGGGCAGAAAAATAAGATGTAGTAGGTCTTTTCTATGTTAAGTGTTAGTTTGTTGGTTGACATCCATAAGTGGACTTTTTTTAGTTCATTATTAACAACATTATTTAGTGTATGTGGGTTGGGGTTAGAGTAGATGAGGGTAGTATCATCAGCAAACAAAATAGGTTTCAGAATGTTAGAGATGTTAGGCAGATCATTGATGTAAATAAGAAATAAGAGAGGTCCCAAAATGCTGCCCTGTGGCACTCTAATGGTTATTGGTAGAGTGGGAGAGGTTATATTATTGATGGCTACACATTGGTGTCTCTCACTAAGATAGGATTGGATATAGTCCAGTGTATGGCCTCGAATTCCATAATGATGGAGTTTACGTAAGAGATAATTGTGATTAACAGTATCAAAGGCCTTTCTCAGGTTAATGAAGAGTCCGATTGGAAACGTATTTTTGTCAAGGGCTGAGTAAATTATATGAAGGAGACTAATAATTGCATCGTTGGTACTCTTTTGGGAGCATGACATTCGTAAGTTTGCTGTGTTGGCTGCCGTCTTGGGTGACATGTCTTGGGCTGACATTCAGGCAATGGGTTTTTGGCGGTCGGACAAGGTCCTGGCCGCTCGCTACCTGGTCAATGTTCTTGGCCCTAATCGGGCATGTGTCATATTGGGTCAGCCATGGCGGCCTGTTGTCTCGACTTATAGTTGAGTGGGTGGCGACCACCTCCCAGGTTAGTCCCTCTTGCTTTGTTTTTGGGTTAGTAGCTCTGGGGAGCAAATGGGGCTCCCCCTGCCCAGTAAACCAATGTTAAATGTAATGAAACATCATTTTCTGTGTGAGACCTGGAGGCTCCCCAGCAACCCTCCCTCCCTTCGGTTAGCGGCTTTTCGCGTATTTTGACATCCAGCCTCAGAACTGGGGTATGGATAGCCGGGATGGAGGTCTGGGGCTCCCTATACCCCCTCCCGGGGAGGGGGTCCTGCGCAAACGGCAATCTGGTGACGTCATACTCGTTTGCTTGATTTCATTTGGGGGAGTTGTGTCCACTAGTTCGGCTATCGGTAGCAATATTTTAACCAGAATAGGGGTTTGTTTTGGGGCGCTTTCCTTTCTTGGTGCCTGACCTGGTCGATGGCAGACATAGAATGCATCTAACCACACGGGGGTTTCTATAAGCCATTGCCCCTCGTGCCTCTCTGTGGGACCCAGGTTCTGGCTTGTGGTCCCCAGTAGGTCAAGAACTTCATGTGCATTGACTGATGCCAGGGTTTAATACATTCATATCAGCCTGGTTAGCTCTGGGGAGCCTCAGGGTCTCACCCAGAAAATGGCATTTATTACATTCAACGCTGGTATTTTACAAAAATTTTCAATATTTTGTTAATTTTTGGTCAAAACCTATGAAAATTAAAAGACCCTGGCCTATTCATTACATTCAACAATAGATTGATATATTTTGCAAATAAATTCATCTTGTAACTTTTTTCTATTCACTGCAGAAAGGCTAAAGATGGGACATACAAGGAAGCTGGATGGCCTAACAGTACCTATGTAGTAAGCAAAGTGGGGGTATCAGCTCTGACTCGTATTCAGCAACGAGCCTTTGATGTCGACTCTCGTCCTGATTTGGTGGTGAACAGCTGTCATCCTGGATATGTTGATACAGACATGACTTCTCACAAGGTTAGTTTGTACACATTTTTGAGTAATCTTCAGATTCATATTCTCTCTCTCTCTCTCTCTCTCTCTCTCTCTCTCTCTCTCTCTCTCTCTCTCCTTCCTTTTTTTTTTTTTTTTTTTCAAAATTTCTGAACCAAGGTGTTGGTAATAGACCTGTGAGATTAATGTTTATTTGATAGGGGTACACAAAAGTATACCATCTCTGGTGCAATTGTAGGGACCCATAGCCTCGAAGAAAATAAAGAGTATTCAGAGAAGACCTCGTGGATTCTCACTGAACACTTTAATCGTTTCCTCTCCTACCACCCCTATTATTTTTTTGTATATTTTTTCTGGGGGAGCTCCTATGGCTCCCTGGAGCTTACGAGGCTGATATGCTGATGTCAGACTTTGGCATCAGACATGTGTATGGAGTTCCTATGGGCCTATCGGGGACCACGAGCCAGAACCTGGCCCCCCTCTAGAGAGGCAAGGGGAGCAATGGCCTATAGAAACCCTGTGTGGTTGGAAACATTCTGTATTCTGCCATCGACCGGGTCAGGCAACCAGAAAGATAAGCATTCCAAAGAAACCCCTATTCTGGTGAGAATTGCAACCAAAAGCCGAATGATTGGATAAAACGCCCCAAACAAAAACTAGCAAACTAGTATGACGTCACCCGTCGCCGCGCCGCTGTCTGCGCAGCTTCCCCCTCTACAGGAGGGGGAAGGGAGAGCCCCAGACCTTCCGTGCCGGCTATCCACACCCCAGTTCTTGAGGCTGATGCTATCGGCTCTGTTGTGTGCTCTGGCTCCTGAATTTTTTGCGGCGTTGTGCCTAGTGTGTGGCGGCTGTTCTCCAGGGGTGCGAGAGCCAGGAGTTACTCTTCAGTACTCGGGCTGTATGCGCCTAGGGTTTTCTTCCCTAGGTGCCCTGTAAGTCCTGCCCTTGGAGCTTGGGGTTACCTTCCACAAGTTCCTCGGGGTCTGCCTCTGTGGGTCCGTTTATTTGCTTGGTTTCTCGGCCACACTTTGGGTCCTTGGGTGTTTTGTCTCCCTCAGTTACCTTATGATAAGAGGCAGTTTTGCACTGGTCAGGGGCACAGGGCACTGCGCAGCTTGTTGTCACCTATCACAACGGCCGGCTCTGTTCCTTAGGGTACGCTGTCCTCTTGCGTGGTTTTGTTTTTCTTGTTGTTTTGCCTTGGTAGGGGGTTCTGCCCTACTTGCCATTGTAGTTTGGCCTCATCCTGATACTTGGTGATGCCCCCTGCTAGGTCCCCGTGAGTGTACACGTCCCTGGGGTTCAGCTGTAGACTGTTTGGTAGTTTTGGGCACCGGTTAGCAGTACCCTGCCTGGGTTTACCTGGGTGTGAGTCCTCTTCAGGTAAATGCTCAGGACCCTGGGAATTCCTTAGGGGATGTGTGAGTCTCATGGATGTGACCCCGGGGGTCCTCCCTCGCTTCATGTGAGTTTGAGGGTTGTTCGGTCCCTTGTCTCAGGGTGACCCTCATTGTTTTTGCCTCCGTCATGCAGCCTCTTGGGTTGGTAACACTTTCGACCCGGAGTCTTGTGAGTTTTGTTGCTTGCTGGAGACTCAATTTACCCAATCTGCGGATGATCATCTTCAGGTATAGGATACGCAAGCATTGCATTCTAAGTTTCGTTTGTTGCAACGTGCCCGGTTGGTTGCTCACCCGGATGCCCCGGGGTTGCCCCGTTTTGTTTATAGGGACCTGGACTTGGGGGTGTGGGTCGCTTCGACCCTGGTTCAATGCGCCCCTCCTCGTCCTTCTCTTTCTGTTGTTCGCTCTGGTCCCCCCTCCCTTGCTTCTGGCCCCAAAACATCTGAGGATTTCGGAGTCAGGGCAGGGGTTAGTTGGTCTTGAGGCTTGGGCAGCCTCGGGGCCTGCCCCTTCTGGTGTGGCAACGGAGGCATTCGAGTCTACTCCCCCGGCCGAAGCCTCTGAGTCTGACCAGTGGGCCCCCTTTCTATCCGGCTTCTACGGCTGCACTGGCCTTGTCTAGTGGGGTCGGTGCTTGGGGGGAGGACTCGGCCCCGGGTCCTGCGGAGAAGGATCTTGGGGTTGGAGAGAGGCTGACTTGGGGGCCTTGGGCTCCGCTGGACCCCGCCTGGGTTTTCCTGCCCTCTGAGGAGCGTGGCTTGTTGTTACAAGGAATGATTTTTTTGTTCTCTTTTCCCCGCCTCGTAGCCTGGGGCCTCGTAGCCTGGTGGATAGCGAGGGGCCTCGTAGCCTGGTGGATAGCGCGCAGGACTCGTATTTCTGTGGCGCGGGTTCGATTCCCGCACGAGGCAGAAACAAATGGGCAAAGTTTCTTTCACCCTGAATGCCCCTGTTACCTAGCAGTAAATAGGTACCTGGGAGTTAGTCAGCTGTCACGGGCTGCTTCCTGGGGGTGGAGGCCTGGTCGAGGACCGGGCCGTGGGGACACTAAAGCCCCGAAATCATCTCAAGATAACCTCCCCCCCCTCTGCGTACGAATTGGACTTGGTGTCTGCCCC